TTTGTTTTTTAAATGTCCAAAAATGTAGATTTAAAATAAAAAAAATGTAAGCCCTACAATTTTCCTATTGGTTAACCAATTACATATGTATATTAATAAAAAGCCTTCAATGTTTTTCGTTTATGTTAAATAAGTTTATATTTTGAAAAACAATGTTACATTCAAACATTTTAATGTTTAATTTTACTATGCCGTTTTTCTCTGTGTGTAAGGATTGTGCGTAAAATTTGGAATTTGATTTATATACCACTTACATCTTCAAAATAAACATAGTTAAATAAAATAAGAATGCAACACTGATATGCACTTTTGTGTTTAATGAGAATTTTATTCTAGAAGAAGAATTTGTTTTATAACTGTGTCAAAGAAATATGAGTATAGTATATCTGCAGGATATATAAGCCTTATATATAGAAATTGTTATTAAGGATATTTCGTTTTATTGCACCACTGTGACCACTGTGCAACTTGGCCTGCCTGGCTGTACAATTTGATTTCGGTGTTTGCCTGGCGATTTGTTGTGTTTGATTTGCTGCCTTGCCGTCTTGCTCCATCCTGGTGTGCCTCCTCGCACCACTGGGGCACCACTGAGCCACCACCGCACTACCGCACCGCCGAACCACCGAACCAATGAGCCACCGCTCTGCATCCAGCGCATTCCAGCGGTGCCGCAGCGCTTACATTGTTCGCTTTTTCGGTTCATTCAAATCCTTTCGGTAAAATTCTTTTGTTTGGTGTCAAGTTTAACAAATATTTGCGGCCTCTTGTCTTGTTTGTCCCATGTTCCTCGCGTGTCATTGTTCGTTTTGCCGAAGTGGCTGCGGTACATGCTGCACACTCGCACACTCGCACACTCGTATTCCTCTACCCGGCGACATGGGGGCGTATGAGTAATCAGTGCCGGGCGCAATTAGTTGGACTTAGACAAGGAGTTCCATGGCGAGTTCGAAGAGTGAGAGTGAGGAATGGGTCGGAATGGAAGACTGTCCTAGGCCAGACCGATTTGCTTCCCATGATTGCCACAAAGTTATTGCTGTTGCTGCAAGTTGGGCTCCATTGTTGCAACTCTCTTATCAGTGTGCCTCTTTTTTTGCAGCTTTTTTTTGCGAGCCTTTGTGCGAAATTTTTGACTCCCCGCTGCGTGAGTCGCACAAAATGCCACAAGAATTGCTGCCGCTGCCGCTGCTGTTGCAGCAACAATCTCTGGAGCGGTGCCCCCTGGTGGGCGGGGTAAGGGGTAAGGGGACGGAGGGCGGGGCAGGGCACTGCTAGCCAAAATGGAGACTTGCAGCCAGCGACAACCGGCGACAAAAGTGCCACTGCAGCAACACCAACATGACCAAGCAGCAACATCAACTTCAACTGCAACTGCAACAAAATGAAACCGTAATTGTTTGTTTATTATGGCTCTGAGCAGTTGTTGTTGCTATCGCATGTTATTGTTACCGCTGCCGTTGTATTGTTAAAATGTTAAAGTGCTACACAATATTTATATTGGCATTGTCTGCAAAAACTGCAGCAGTAATGGTAGCAGCTAAGATCGAATTGCGAATGCCTTGAGTTTTTGAGAAAAAAATAGGGTTAAGCAAATATGTAAATAATACTTTCTGGAACTCAACTTAACAAACACTTTTTTCAGCCACCTTTTTTTCATTTCTTTAATTCCTTTTTATTAATAAATTTAAAAAATAAATTGAATTAAATTAAAATTAACAAAAAATTAATACAAAATTAAACTAACAACCTTAATTAAAATATAATTTGGCCAAAAACGCCAACCACAACTTATGGAATGACTTTTTTAAGCAGCTTACGACCTAAGCAGTCGATCCTCGTTGATTTAGAAACATTATTTTTGTGGCCAATTTTCTCATTTTTTTATGAGGGGTTACATCACTTTTTTTTTGCAAAAGTACAAAAAAAATTTTAAAAAAATCTAGGCTTGAATGCCACTTTGTTGATAACGAGGTACACCATTCCATTTTAGAAGCATTATTTACATTTTGATGGCCAAGATACTGAAGTTTTAGTCGGTAAGTATGGACTTTTGACTTTTTGGTACGCCTATGAATTTAATAGCTATAGATAAACGTTTTAAAGTTTAATTTCAATATTATTGATGATGCGATATTGTAATACTGACCAGACTCCTGCTGACGTAACCAGTTGATGCAATGGACCCTGCGGAGCTGTAGAGTAGCGTGGAGTAGAGCAGGCCGAGATTGCCATCGGCGACACCCTCGCCGGCGCACAGAGGGGTTCCCAGCAATGTGTGGCACTGCTGACACTTCAATGGAGCCCCAGCACTCTGGCACTCTGGCTTTCTGGCTTTCTGGCTTTCTGGCACTCCACTCCGAGAGGTTGCCTCATGCTGTGGCGCTATGCTGCGATTATGGCCACGGATTAACTTCCTCTTTTGGCCATCATCATTGTGGTTATTGTTGCGGCTGCTCCCCAGCAGCTCTCCAGCCGCTGCCATCGCTGCCACCACTGCGACCACTGCCACCGCTGATTTGCGATTGCCACGGATGGCCTGCAGCAACGCTTAATTATATATCTAATTCGGGCGAGGCGAACCCTTGCCGCCTCTTAGGCGCTGATTGCGACCTCGCCAGTGCGCTTATCGCGCGATTACGCCGACGTGACTTGGCGGCGATAAGAAAGCCCACGGGGATACTCTCCCCTCTGCAGAATTAGCCCCGGCAAGCCTAGAACTATGCAATGCCACGGCATCAGCTCGGCCATTCACATTTCACACCCAAATCCACCGACATGATCAAGTAACAGTCTTCGGACTGAAGGTTAGAGTTCGGCTAAATTCAACAAATTAGCAATTACCAATTGCAAGCAGTTCAACATGAAACACATTATAGAATTAAAAAAATCAAAAGTTGTAATAGCTATAAATAATTAATTTGAATATTTTATAACTAGCAGGCAATGTCATTACTTATTTCAGTTAACATATTGCAGATTGTTCGTTAGGCTATGTCTTTTTGAAATTACTTACCTACTAATCTTCAAAAAACAAACACTAAACGCCCTTGATATTTATTTTTAATATCTTGAAAAAATAGTATTTTATCTTATCTCATATTTAAATTTTAAGCCCTATAAATTATAACAGCATACCAAAATGATTTTTTGAAATTACTTTAAAGTCTATTTTTAAAATCGTATATTCAATTCTTATATATGTATATAAAATCGTATGGTCTTAAAATTTCTTGAATACTTTATAGTTTTTAATAATGTAACAAAATGGTTGCTCTTTTGCGGAATGTACATTCCCAATTCAAATTAAACTCCTTTAAAACAAAAACTACAAGCTTTTGACTATTATTTGTAATATCCTAAATACCGTTGGCCCCAATGGAAATATGATTTGAAAAATTTCTCCAAATGTAAGACTTTATACGTTTTAGCAACATACCGCAGTAGGTCGATCTGGCGGACTTTGATGTGGCAGCATCGGCCTCCCTTCAACTTCTACCTGGGCAGGTCTAACACCTTATAACACCCCATAAATCAAGTGCTTAACCGTTTTTAACGATCCGCGTGTTTCGCAATGGCCCGAAAGGTTTTGCTTTTGGCTAAGCTCCCCTTTGGCGGCTGCTGAGCCGTCGGCAAGGTCAGCTCAGTTTTTTTTTCGGTTTTTTGGTTTTTTGCCCGCTTGTGCAACCCCTGACATTGAGCGATTGTTGTGTTGGGGTTATGGACTTATGAGTGGACAGGAAATTCTCTTTTCATCTGCAAACGGGAGACATTTTTTTTAAACACCACCTTGGCGTCGGCGTTGACAGTTTTCCGTTTTCGATTTTGTAGTTTGTAGTTTGTAGTTTTCAGTTTTCAGTTTTCAGTTTCGGTTTCGGTCGACGAGAGTTTCCCAGCCGGCGGCAAAGTATAAACGGATGCCGAATGCAATGCAACAATGCCCCATGGGCCGTGTTAATAGAAACGTTTCGAGATTCGACAGAACGAGGTCCAAGCGACGACGTAGCCAGCGACAATTCCCGGGAACTCCATAAAAATAGCTAAACGTGCATGGGCCGCCCAGAACTCGACGGCAACGCTCCCCGCTCATTTCATTTCAATTGACCGACTGCTGGCATTCTTTGGTTGCCTCGACTGCCTCGACTGCCTTACAGCCAGAAGGGAAGAATTCACTTTCATCTTTTCAATAGGCAGCCGAAGGACGATCAGCTGTGGGTCCTTTAATGTCTAAATTCCCGAGCCTCAAACCTGATGTGTCATACCGCCCAAGACTTGACCTGCTGCTGAGCTCAAAACTCTGATCTCTCAGCTCTGATCTCTGATCTCAAAGATCCTTTTGGGTCCTTTGTTCTCTGCTAACTGTTTCGGCCATTCCACCTTTCCACCTTTCCCTTTCTCTCTTGCGTGTGTGTGTGTGTGTGCCGTGTAAATATTTTCCCAGCATCCTGCAAACGTTTTGACAGTTTTTATTAGATCAAAAACCGGCTACAAGTGGCGTGTGATAAATTGCGGCCAAAACGCAGCTAAGCAGAGATGGGCCAGCCCAGATATAGAGGCTCACACACACGCACACACACGGGGTACCTATATAGAAATAGGGTATAGAAATGGGAATAGGAATGGGAATGGGAATAGGGGTCTTCTAGGAGTGGTAGAAAGATCAAGTGTCGCTCACTTGGCTTCCCTTTTATTGTCTGATAAGTCATGACTTTAACGCACACACACTGCGAGCAATTAGGTTGGGCCAGTATATCCTGATCTCAAATCCGTTTACCACTCTCACCGCTCTTCAAATTTAAGCACTTAAATTATTAAGACAATGAGATTTTATTATACTTGCTAATCCCGTTTTTTTGTTTTTTTTTTGGTTCGTACTCCCAACCCTCTGAAACATAGTTTGTCGTGCCTCGAGGACCATAACTCATCATCGACAGTCGGAGTGATTGATGAACTGGCCGGCCAGTGTTCGGCGGCACACTCACAGCTCAAATATGCATGATGGCCCCCATCATCGATCCCCAAAATCAGGGAAGCCGTGCTGAGAACGCCACATCAGAATAAACTATTTTCGCTTATAGGGCGCACAACTGGAAATTTTAAGTGAACACATCGAATCAGATATTTCCCCATCCCGATAGGATGCAAAATTCAACTGTGATCAGCAGGGTGAACGCGGGCTTGAGTCGCTGCCTGAGCCACCACCGGCGGTTGTGTCGCGGCATTGCCGAGCTGGACCGCCTGATCTACGACGACGAGTTCCTCAAGGATCCCAGGACTCAGTGGCTGCTCCACCAGAGGCGGCAACGGGAGGAGAAGCTGATCAAGCACAAGGTCATCTCCCTGGGACATCTTCTCTGTCAGTCTAAGTTAGCCCTGTCTCCGCAGTCCGGAAAGGTGAGTTGCATTAAGTTCCTGCTCCTCCTCATCCTCCTTCACTCAATACTCACCCATTTCCCTTCCCTTTAGAGCAATCTTGCGGTTGCACGTGCCTTTTGTCAATTGCTGCAAGCCGAATCGCCATGTGGCAGTCATTCGCCCAAGGCCAGGACCCAAACAGGACCTCTGCCCGCTCCCACTCCTTTGCCCTCGCCCGAAAGACGTCCCAGTTTCAGGATCAGTGCTAGTTTACCTCGACCTGAGAGGAAGGCATCCTCGAAGGCATGCTGCCAAAGCTGCTAGAAAGGATTTCATAAGAAGATCCTTAAAGTCATTGGATACTGCTAGCTAAAAAGACAGAGCACACAATTCTTTAAAACATTTTGGAGCATTCTAGTTCCATTTCAAAGTTGCTAGAAATGGGGATTTAGTAAAGAAATTCTTAGAGAGATCTTGGAGCTATGCACTCACAAGTTTGACACAGATCTATGATACGGATAGATCTGTGGCAGACTGGCGAGGAATAACTGTGGGATGTCTTGAGGAATTAGCAAGTTGCAGTCTCCCAGGAACTTGAATGTAACTGAACCTATATAGCCCAACTGCAAGAGGATGAGGATGAGGATGAGGATGAGGATGAGGATGAGGATGAGGATGAGGATGAGGATGAGGCGAGAAGGAATGAAGGAGGAGGTGCTCAGCCCCGTTCGGCATCCGTGCTGCTCTCGTTATTGTTATGAATAAGTTAATAACATGGCGGAAGGCTTCTTTTGTCGTGGCCCAAACAAGCAACAACCTGGCGGGCAGCGCTTATTAAATGATTGAAGCTTTTGGTGGGGCAATGGTGGGGACATGGACTTGGACTTCGACTTGGTCTTCGACTTGGACTTGGACTCAAGCTGGGGGCCCCCATAAAAAAGGTGGAAACTTGGTTCGTCTTTTTTTTTCTCTTTTTTTGTTTTGCCTGCTCTTTGTGGTTTTTTCCCCGTTTTTTTTTTTTTTTTGTGCGACCGGCGAGCAGCGACCACCATCAATAACAGAGCCCGGGCCATATTTATGATTTGTTAAGCAACGCCGAACGTGCGAAAGGATAATCACAAGCGCCTGCTGGCACGCCCCCTTCTGCCCCCGCCCCCCTCCTTCGTTGTTTTTTTTTTTTTTTTGGTTTTTTTTTCGAAGGGATCGACGTCGTGTGTGAGGCATTTCCAAAATTGAGTCAATGACTTTTATTTTTACGACTCGCCCTGGAGAAGTGTCCAAGATGGATTGGATGGATCCAAACTTGGCACCGACTTTTATGGCACTGCGAATTGAGCTATTAGACTGAGTGTTTTTTTTCGATTTGGCAATGTTGATCGTAGGTAGCACCTGTTCTCTGGTCCACTCGAACTTTGACCACCGGCGTTGGTAAAAAACAAAAAAAAAAAATAAGAAAACAAACGCCATCGATCCCAATCGCTCTCGTCCACTCATCGACATCAATTATGTACTACAAAATTGTACAAATCATTTTCGTTAGGTCCTCAAAGTGTTTCAGCTGTCAGCTGATGGATTGGACAGCTGTAGGCATTGCATATTGTGAGGATGTTGAGTTGAGAGCACGCTTGCAGGATTAGCGCAGGGCATGGGTATCGGTATGGATATGGGTATTGCAGGATGAGCTGTGAAAATTCTTGGCATCTTTAATGAGCGCCGGCTTATCAATGACCTCCGCCGTCAACCGACAGCCACAGCCAAAGCCAGAGCCAGAGCAAGAGCCACATCCATAGCCAGAACCACAGCCAGATCCACAGTCACATCCAGTAAGCATTCCCATATCCATTCCCAGTCGCAGTCTGATTGTTAACCTTTGAATCGGGGCATTAAAAAACGTTAACAAGCTGCGTAGCGCCGTCGGCGGCGTTAATGTCGAAATTGGCGCTGGACCAGGAATGGCCAAGATCTGCCGATCGGCATTGCAGTGATATTGAGGTGGGCAGGCGGCAGCAGGAGACGGGAGACGGGAGGCGGGAGGAGAGCTCGCAACTGGGGCCTGCGAACGTGTTTCTTAATGAAACAAAGCTTGAATTTTAAATGAGCATCATAAAGAACAATGAAAATGCAGGGGAACAGCAACAACAAAGCGAGACCGGCGATCCGTTCGATGGACAAACGGTGGTGCGGCGGTGGCAGGGCGGCAGGGCGGCAGGGCGGCGGCAGGGGTGCGGGGTGATGGTAGCGCGGACAGCGCGAAATAAAAGCGCAGAAATGTTAAATAAACAATAAAAAACAATCCGCAGTCGTCCCCTTCGCGGAGTCTGTCAAACTCGGCCAGAGCGGATTAAGCGCGGCCTGCGCACCACAGAGATGGATATGGCTGCGATCCCAGGCGATACCCGAAATCGGACCAGGATGGGGGGCAGTCAGGAGGAAGTGCGTCCCCGATTGACGCGCCGACTGCCAAATGCCCTGCCACAAGGTCTTAAAGCAATCACTTAACGTTTAAATTAAAATTCGAACTAACGGAATGTCAGTATTACATAAAGTACATAAATACAAAAATGAATAAGAAAACTTAATTTTCTGGCCATTGACTCCATTAAATATTTCCAAATAAAACTAAATTTTATATCAAATTATTTTATATTGCATTATTTAAAATTAAACTATTTAAATCTTTGCTTTAACTGCATAATATTTAAGCTTAAAATGGTTTCAAATAATACAACTTTTATTCTATCTATTAGTATTACCTACACTGATACAAAAATGGAATAGTAAATCAAAGCTAAATATATTTAAATTGATCATTATATACTATATATAATATAACAAGTAATAAGTTCCTGTTTAAAAATTGATAATTAAATCTCAACATCGGTAAAGTTTTAAGAAAATTTATTTAATTAAATATCACTACGCTGCATGCTTAATAATAATATTTTTAGTACAAAAGCAGGCTTTTAATTTGCAGTATATTTAAGCTTACATAAATTGCATCCAAACTGAAATTTAAAAAATGTCTCTTTCAATTACAAAGAGATTATATTTTTAGAAATCTTGTCTTTAATTTCTTAAAATGAAAAAGACATTATTCTATTTTTTAGTAATTAATATTATTATTATTATAATATTATGAAATAAAAGAAAATTGTACAGAAATATATATTAATAATAAGCCCAAAATGAATTAGCTTTAAGATTTAAAGTTTTGACTACTTTGGAAGGAACTCCCTAATTACCATTTAATTTGTTCTGTCGCAAAACGAGGCTCTCAAGGGGTGGGACTCTCTTCAAAAGTTAGAGTATCGCCCACCGATAATCATGTGGGTTGGGATGTAAAACTTTTGCCGTCGCTGCTGCTTAAAGGATTCGCAAATGATTCTGCGGCCAAAGATGAAATGCAAACGGGCCCAAAGGATGGGGAGCATGGGGATCATTGTGGATCATTGGATATCATGGGGGATCATGGGGGATGAGGGGAGCTGGACATAGTTGATTCTCTGGTGCTGGCCATAATTGGTGCTCATCTTAATGGTATTAAAATTGCATTATCGCTGTATTTATTGAAACGGTTTGTTTTAACAAGATTAACTCGACGATACCGCCAACAACAACGACAGAGACCACAAAATGATTAACAGCAAAAGCCGCCACAAACGGATTATAAAAAACAACTTAAAGAAAAAAAAAGAAGAATGAGAAAACGACGATTCGGTGTCGATCCGAAAACAGCGTTAAAATACGTGATATTTATGTGGTTGCTGCTGCTGTTGTTGCTGTTGTTTTTGTTATTGTCGCTTGATTGGCCCCAACCATTGTTGTTATTGTTATTGTTGTTGTTGGTATTGCTGCTGCGTGGGCCATAAAATATTTATAACATAATTTCATATCATTTTTAGATGATTAGATTCAATAAGGCGGCTTCCAGTTGAGCAGCTGGACTTTGAGATACATTTGTATCTTTTGAACGGTTTTTTTTTTGTGTTTGTGTTATCTTTGTTTTCCAGATGCCAATTTGAATGGGATTTGGAGCAGGAGCAAGAGCAGGAGCAATGCTTAGTCAGCGATGACGTCCACTTGCATTCCCAGAACCCTAGAGCAGACCCAATCCAATCCCATCCAATCCCAATCCCGTCCAATGGATCGATGATGATCCGTATATTGCAACCCTTGCCACATTGCTTCCGAGAAACTATCATAATTATTATTTATGCATACAAATTAAAAAAGCAGAGCGCAGTATTTGCCAAAATCCGATCAAAGCGTTTATTTATGGCCGCCTGCCTGTGTAGTTTGTTATTGTTTTTTTTTTTCACTTCGTTCAACGCGCTTATTTCATCAGGCCCCGAAATGCCAAAGAGTTTGCTGTGGAATGCGTATACGAATATGCCGCCGCGGGCACTAATGGCCTAGTCGAGATACAGATACGTGTTGCGTACCGTTAGGTGCCCCTTTTTTTTTTTAACACCGCTACCCCTTCGTGTTTTACCTATCAGATCCTTAAGCATTATGTGTTAACATATATGGCCAAAATGCGTTGCCAAGGGCTGTGGATGTTCGCATTCCCAATCCCTTTTCCAATCCCAATCCCATTCCCATTCCGCTCCAGATACATTTGACGCATCCACTTATCACCTGTGATCGTGCGTCAGCGGCAACAATTAAATAGATTGAATGCGGATTGCGACGATTTATGACATGGAAGCGATAATCGGCACTCGGCACTCGACACTTGGCACTTGGCATTTGCAATTGATTGTCGTGTTGCGCAATTAAACTTATTGCGGGTCGAGTAAATGAAATGTCAAATAAGTTAATTAAGCAACGACCGGTCGGTCAACTGCGGATAGGACGAGCCTCCGTTACGGGGGCGTGTTTTTTCCTCGATAAGATGATACAGTAGGTTGATAACACGCCGGCGGTGATAACACCCGACGACCTTGTTGCATCAGCAGCTGTCTGCGCCCAGTGGCGCAATTGCTGCACAGCGGAAAAACTCCCCCCAGATAAGATACGCAGTCATTTGAATTGCTATCTCATGGTCGGGATGCCACAAGCGATTAAAATATAACTTGTTTAAGTACTTCTCATCTGTCACTTATCGCTTAGCCTGTAATTAATCTCAAATTGCCCATTATACAGACTCTATCGTTTGTTAAACGCGTTATTTTAAGTCTGATGTGTAAGGAATGTTTCGATAAGATTGCAACGGCTTCACCTGCATTTTAGGTACAGGGAAACAACACAAGGTATTGCACTCGCCTGACCCCTTTTTCTCGACGTGTAGCGAGTGTGACTGTCTCCGGCTGCAGTGATAACCACCAATGAGCAGAGTAACCATCGTGGTGGTGATGACTCATCAGGTGGTTGCCCCGCATAGCGACACACTCTGATTTGCGGACAGATTTCATTTGGTATTTTTTTTTTTTTTTTGCGGGGGCTTGAGCTGAGTTGGTTTCTCACCTGGAGGCGGCGGCGTTTCCAATTAACAAATGCGAGTCGCGTGCCTTGACGTCATTTGAGCTCCCCCCCTTCCTGGCATTGCCCACACTTTTCCCACATTACCTGTGCTATACAAAGGTCGCCGATCGATGTTTACCCCACAATTTCGCGAGAGACATGAGCCAGCTCATGTTTTCAGGCGGCTACGTCATCGTGGCTCGATTTCAAGTAACATATATGTATAGCGGGGATCTTGGGGGTTTTCGAAGATAGCGTCGTTTTGCACATTGTGAAATTCAAATGGGGGAGAAGTGGGGCCATCTTGTTGCCAATTGTTGTTAATTCAATTGAATCGAAATAGCCGGGCG